TCCAAAATTTTGCTAGCTAATTCAATTCTATTATTGATAGTCGTTATCTTGTCCGTGTGCCCTATGGGCCTCTAACTGTTGTTTGTTTGGTCTTCAATTGTTGGTACGAATGGCCGGTTATCACCAGGCACATCCTTTGGTTTGATGCCTCCAGGACATTCTATAATTTTAGACCTAACTTAAAACTTCTCTCTAGAACTTAAAACACTTTTTAGTCCTAACTAATATTATTACCCTTGTCACAGTAGTCGCGGTAATTTCGACACTCATGGATGTTTGTTAATTACTCCTGTTCTTCTATTAGGTAATACATTTATCTTTTTGGTCCTTCACCAGGGTCTCAACTTAGGAACCATGGGAAAACAACCTAGTTTGTCCAGTCTGACAAGAGTTATTGTGGTGGTGGTAATGAAAGAATGACACCTTCCATGCTCAATTTGGTGATGTGACATAATAATCCTTTCGGTTAACAGCACTTCACATACGGTTACTCGTTCTATTAGCCTAGTTACCTTTAGTTTTCAGAAAACAGTCTGTCATTATTTTTTACGTGGAACACTCAAGTGGTAGTAAGACTCGTCATCAGTAAGCAATTTCAGTAACGTCGTTTTCAGTAAGGCATTAATTCATTGTAATTCATCCGTCAACAACACCTCATAAATCGGACTAGTGGTCTAACTTGGCCTCTAAATATTATATAAATATTCATAACACTTATTACACTGTCAATAATATTTAATAAAAGAGGTTTTTGAAAACCTTATCTTGTCTAATATTTTCAACCAGATAATTAATAACCATAGTTCATTTAAGTGGGTGGAACAATACGGTCACCCTTACTACGCCACGTGTAAAGGTTTATCCAAGCCGTTTGTAGTGTTCCACCTGGTTTGGTCCCACTTGTTTTAGTCCGTTCACCCAATGTACTCCTTATACCTGCGTTAACATACCTCTTGGACAAAAGATATGGGTAGTTTGCAAGGACCAGCGATATTGGGGATGTTCCCTTTTGACTATGTTGTTACCACCAATGGTTCAATGATAGATAGGGGTCAAAAAAGTAGTCCGAGAAATCGCAAGAGTATTCTACTGTAAAACACCGCAGCTAAAATTACCAAGTAGGTCGGGGGTCCTTCACTCCGATTTTACGATTTCGTTTTAAAGCATTCTTGGATAGAGTTACCAGATTGTTTAAAGACACGAGACTGGTGTACTGTAGTAACCTGGACTTTCTATAAAAAAAGGGGTAACCCCTTCTGCTGGACGTTTGGTACTGGTCGGTCACCTGCGACGGTTAACTGCCTCGTCCCTAACCTACTTTCCTG